TGTTTTGACAGCAGAGAGGCCCCAGCCATGACTGGGCTCTCCGTCAGGCCAGGCCCAGTATCTCCACTGGAGCAGGCCAGCGGTGGGTGAGAGAGACAACAGGGGAGGGCTGGATGGGTGAACAGCCTCCTTTCACCGACGGGCCAAAGTCCTGCCAGGAGGCAGCAGAGGCAGGGAACTGATCCCAGTCATCCCAGTACACATTGTGTTGTAGCATGCTGGGAAGAGCTGGCCCCGGGGTTTGTATGAAATCTCCGATGGCCGCCAACGTCGCAGCAAGCGGCTGATGAGCTGGGCTGGGGACAGCGCGCCCAGGCGGGGAGGCGGCGGCAGCAGCAGGGGCAGGCGCAATCCTCTGGCAAAAGACTCCTTCTTCTTTCCGTGCCAGCCCCCTAGCGCGGAGACAGAGAGAAAATAAGGGATATTTATAAGCAAGCCTGTCTCTAAGGCAGCACTTTCCAAAGGCTAATAATAGGGTTTGGGCTTGCTGGGCTGCATGATTCATGCAGCATTGCACAAAGCAGCTGGGAGGCTCCTGTGGTCCCCAGGGCCTCTCCCGGAGATGATGCACAGTCGGAAGGGGCCCAGGCCAGCTGCAGCCCGGCTCCCTGGCAGCGGGGCGCCGCACGCTCCATCTCCCCTGAGCGGGGTTTTCATTTGCGGGACAGCCTCTCCCGGCGATCACGGCCAGGGAGGTGGGGAGAGGGGGAGTGCCCTGGCGTCAGGCGCTGCACGAACACCAAGTGGAAGATCCTCCATGGCCTCAAGAGTCTCCAGTCTACACAGATGCCCAGAACAAGCGACTGCTGAACACGGGAATGACCCACCAGCCTCCTCTTCTTGCTGCAAGGAAACAAGAGAAGTGCATCGCAGTCTAGCGAGCCGTGCTCGGAGCCGGCCTCCTCCACTGCACGCTTCCCCAGCAGGGTCCATAGCCCTGAGGGAGTGGACACCACTCTCCTCCCACCCTGGGGATCCTGGCGTCTCGTCCCCACGACCAGCCACGAGCCCAGGCTGCCTCCCAAGGCTTGGAGTGCAACCCAGGAGTCCAGGCTCCCGGGCCGGCATCAGCCATGAGCACTTGGTTTCAGCCTCAGCCCTCACACAGCTGCAAGCGCGCTTCAGCCCTCCTCCAGCTGAACATAAGCCCAGCTGCCCTGGCACAAGGACGGGGCCTGGGGGAGCGGAGGGGCTGTGCTGGCTTGGCCTGTTCACTCGCTCTGCTCTTTGCTCCTGCAGAGCCAGGCTGACCCTTCAGCTGCTCTGCAGGCACCGCTGGAGCGTGCAGAGAGGACAGATGGGCCCTGCTAGAGCATCCCCCAGCATGGAGACACGCGCCGAGTCCCCGACCACGCTTGGAGACCACAGGGGGCTGAAATGCACGGCCCAGCAGTGCCCGAAGAACCGGGAGCCTGAGCAAACAGGAGAACAGCACGATTGCAGCCCCTTTGCACCACGGTTCGGATCCCTCCTGCAGCAGCTCCATAAACACCGCCCCCCACCCCAATCCACCACATTGTGCTTGGCACAAAGTGCAATCAAACACTTGGAAAGCTGCTGACTCCAATCTCGGAAGCCCGGCCCCGGGTGCTGGCGAAGGCTGGCGGCAGGCAGAGACGAGCTGGGCTCGCGTTCCTGCAGGGCTGGAGCCAGGAGCTCCATGCTGGCCACGGTGCAGCGGGGAGGGGAGGGGAGCTCCCAGGTGAGGCCCTCTGCCCTGATGAGACAAAGCTGCTGCTTGGAGCATGGGCAGACGGAGCCACAGGTGCTGCTTGTGAGTTTGGGTGATCATTTCTAGATCAGGGCAGACACAGAAGCAAACAAATCCGTAGCATTTGGGGGTTTACCGCTGTACTTGAGGGGCCATGCTACCCATCATCGCAGTGGTGTGAGACCCTGACAGATGCTGGAAGCGCTGGGTCCTGGGCTGCTGCAGGGGCAGCTCGGTGCCCTCTCATTGCAGATACTCCCCTCCCTCAGTCATTAGTCTCATGCTTCACAGCCTGCTCAAGGCAGACCCCAAGGAAACCCCAATACTCACCCTGCCTCCGCTTTGTTCTGCATGAGCTCCACCACGTAGCGTGCCCGCGCCAGGGGATTCCCCAGGAGGGTGCTGGGGAAGAGGCACAGCAATGTGTTCAGAGCAGAGTATAGAAACCGTCAGTTTTGCATAGTGATGCTTGGGCCTTGTCTCTGCTGTCAGAAGCAAATTGCACCCCAGCCTTTTGCATGTAGCTAGGGCTCAGATGCAGCTCCCTCAAAGGCGGATTGATCAGACTGGGAGCAATGGTTGGAAATGGCTGTCCCTGCAACCAGAGGTCACTGGGACTTAGAAATGCTTACAGTGTGTGCATGCGAGTGTGCAGCTGGGTGCGCGGGGTCATACATGCACGTGTGTGTGAAACTCAGCACATATGTTTGAAGGAGAAGCAAGACTGCACCTCTGCAGGGCAATGACTCCCATCAATCAGGGTCCCGAAAAAATGGAATTTAACCCAGAATAAGAAAGGGCGGTGAAACCAGAGTAATTTAAAACAGGGGTTTATTAGACTATCTTTCCACAGTGAACACGAAAGGGAAGGTGGCAACACAGGTAGGGCAGTGAGACAAGCGGCACCACAGAGAAGGGCTTGCTGGGCTCTTCCTAGCTGCAGCCCGTGTTTCTTTATTTCATGGATAAGTGGAAACCTGGAGGGAAGCAGACAGCTGGTTGGGTTTCAAGTCACATGTGCGCCCTCATGGGGCACAGGAGACCCCAGTTACGCCAAGGTAAACGCTCTGGGTGGAAAGCACGTTAAAAACACTCACGGGAGCATGACACACGCACTGCAGGGCTGACTGGTGACATGAGTTTCATCAGAAACTGAGCCCGGACCCTGAAGTCACTCGTTTCCTGTGCAGGCTGCTGCTCTGAAAAGGGAAATTCCAGTGTCACCCCAAAGGCTGTAGCAAAGCAGACACCGCTTGTGCCAGGATGAAATGCCTGCTCTGCAGGGGACCTGCCCAAGACAGATGCAGGGCTGACACCTCCCATGGGCTCTCCAAGCAGGCCTCTGGCTAATGCTGTTCCTTTGCATGGGGGAGAATTTCATCTCAGCCTGTACAACCTTGCATGATTAATCCAGGCAACAAGGTACCGACAGGAACATGCCCTTCCCACAGTTCACATTTTTCCAACCTTTGTTTTGCATTCAATAGAGTAAATCTTCCTTAAGGATGTGCAAAAAGGAAGAAAAGCACTTGTCCCTGTTATGCCCAGCTGCCCCCTCCCTGCCTTTGGCTCACCCGTTGTTTCCACTTGGGGTCCTATTCCACTTGGGGTCCTATTTGCCATCCTTCTCCCGGACGGGTGCTAGACACCCAGTAGACTCTGCTGCAGACTGCTGGCACAGTTGTCAACATCACTAAAGACGTATCCTCCGGGGAACAGGCTTGTCCAAATACGCTGTAAGGCTAAATTGGAGCTGGAAGACTTCTCCCAGGAGGAACGATCTCTGCGAGCACAAGATTACATAGGAAACAGAGATGGGGGCACCCTCTTCTCTCAGCCTTCACCAAGGGATATGGGGCTTTTAGGGAGAATGGAAACCTTAATGCCAGCCCTGCGGCATAGAGCTGATGTATGGACCAGTCTGCTTTCCTCCTCACCCAGCCACAAGCACTCAACCTGCATAAGAGACTAGGGGGAGATTTGACAGTGCAGCTCACTGTGTCACGTAGCAGAAGCAGGCGATTCACTGGTCCCACAGACCTGGCTCCCCAGGGACCACGGATCAACAGCACCTGGCTAAAGTGTTTCCCACATGACTTGGTATTTTGGTGCCCAACCCAAAACACCTTAAAGAAGCCCCATTCCTAGAGCACGCCAAGCACCGTACACACCACGCTGTCCTGTCTGGGGACACAGCAAGGTGGTCATCAGCCCCATGACCTGGTAAACACACACAAGGAATGAGAACCGAGCAAAGCAAACACATCTCCCCCGGGGGGTGGATGGGGCTGAGCAAAGACAAGTTCAAGGCCAGCTGCAGGGGCTGAAACTCCAGGACATGCTCATGCTACTTAGACCATCTTCACCTGGGGAACTGGTAGATTAGTCACCGTAAAGTCTCAAATCCCAGGCCTGTTGGGACACCAACTTCCTTGCCTGGTATTTTAAGATGGGATTTAAAAGCAGGAGGGCACCCGGCCCTACACCTGCTCCCTCACACTGGGATTTCACCTGCCCGGTGAAGGGCTCTCTGCCAGGGCCCCAGCTCCGCTCTCCTCTACTAAGGTCATTTTCCAGGTTAAAGCCATGCACGGTTCCCTTCCCAGCTACTGCTCTGACCTAATAGCATCACATTAAATCACAGCCTCAGTGCTGCAGCCTGCCCTTCTGACCCTGTGACAACAGCCCGCTCAGCTGCTAATCTGCCTAGAGGCCTCTCTGCCCCGGCTGTCTCCTCCATGGACCAGTGTGCACGGACCTGTTTGTGACACTTTCCTACACCCCACTGGGCCAGTGACGGGCCGGCCTGCTTCAGCATCCCATGAGCACGCACCAGGCAATCCTACTCACAGCCCTTCCCCAAGCCCCATCTCACTTGCTGGCTCTTGCATGCATGCTATTCCTGTAACTTCTCCTCCCAGCACAAGGCACAGCACTCAGGGACTATTCTGGCCACAAACCGACCCTCGCAACGGGTGGCAAGTATGGCACAGGATTTGTGTGGTCCCTCTGGGCAGAGAGGAGCATTTCCCACCTTCCCTCCCGTCTGCTTTCTGCAATTTTCTAGGAGACTGATGTAAACGTCGTTTCTAATCTGGCTCGTAAGGCAGGACATGGCTGTAAAACCTGGATGCAATTAAGTACGGCATCAATCTGGGGAGTCTTTGCCAAAGTGGACTGCTAAGGAAGCTGGTACCTCATTGAGCTGGGAAATCGCATCACAGAAATCATCCTTTTGTCCCCGGTGCCGTTTCCAGTCGTTTTACACATAAGAGACCAGGATTCAAAGGATATCATACATTCTTTACAAATAATCAACAACAATAAATAAAATAAACAAAGCCCCTGGTCATTTTAGGACGTTGAGGACAAGAAATGAGTCAAATGGAGCTCAAAGAAAAGCAAACCAGAACCTGGGAAAAGGCAGAATTTGCAGTCACAGTTTTTGCTTTTTGCTCCAAAGTGCAAGTGTTTCCTTGGACCATGCTCTCCTGGGCTCCTAGCACCCCTTCTCTATGGGATGAGATGAACTGTCCTGGTGACAGAGATTCTCTGTGTTTAAGAATCAGTGTCTCTGCTGTGGTCTCTTTTTTATGTGCTAATGTCTGAAAATAGTTTGGAGGAGTAGGCAAGCAGTTATTAAGTAGATGAGGACTACTGAGAAAGAGAGATGGCAAGGGAGAGAGAAGAGGCTCTGGATTTTCTTGGTAGCAAACTGTATCCTGGAGCACAGCTGAACACAGTCGCATCTTGTTGCTGTAGTTGTTTCTCTTCTCTAGCCCAATAAGCCATGATGCAGGCAGCAGCGGGGATAATGTGTATTCGTAGGTGGCTGCAGGATTTTCAAACGGCTTCTTACCAACGTGTTCTGGAAACAGAGTGTGTAGGCAGAGCGGAGACCTGACACCACGAACCGAGCAGATGATGTACCCTTTGCAGCTGGAGGCTCGCAGAGTGAAATCACTGGGGAGATCTTTATTATTGAATCTTACAAGCACATTTTTTCTAAAGGGGGATTTTGGGAAGGTGTAAGCAGCTGGCCAGCAATGAGCCTTTTTTGGTTCACTGGGTGCATTGCTAACCTCCTATCTTCTTCCTGGCTTGCTTTGACCTCCGGGGCTTGAGGATGGTGTAGTTTGCGTATGACGTGTGCTGTTCGGACAGGAAAGGGATGTAGAACGCACGCAGCAACTTGGAGGATCTAAAAGCCAAAGGGAAACAGAAGGTGGGCACAGTGGTAGGCACAGGCAAAGGGACACAGAAAGACTGATGGTGCTTGGGACGGGACACGGGCTGCAGACCTCGCGACAGTCATGTGGGGAACAGCAATGACAGAGGCACGATAAGCTCCACTCTGCCTTCCTCGCATCAGCCAAAACGTAGGGTGGGCAAGCACCTCAGGGGGCTTCATGTGTGAGCCCAGCAAGGAGGAGAAACCCCTTGAGCTCTTACCACTTTTGCCTACAGCCAGAGCTGTTGTGTCAGGACGGCCAGCCCCAGTGCAGCCCTCCCTGTCAGTCCACAACATTTCCCCCCATCATCCTGTCGTATAAGTCGGGGGCTATGCTTACGAAAAGCAATGTACTTCCAGATGTTATGGGCCCAGGGGCAGTCAGCACAGCCCTGGCGGGGCCTCTGGTGCAATAAGGGGACACAGCTTCAAAACTCCCACCCAGCCCCAAGCTGCGCCGAGTGCAACAGAGAAGCGGGTCCACACGCAGCTTTGCCATGCTCCTCACTCTAGGATGCAACCTGCTCTCCCCTCCACCTCTCTCCAGCAGCAAAAAGCAACCCACAAGCTCTATGGGTTTGGCACACTGCTGTTCTGCTGAGCATCTCGCATGAGGGAAGAGAGGAACCGCCCTCAGCCCTGGTAGAGAGGACGCGTGGCAGGCTGTCAATCTTCCCTGGGTTGCCCACCCCGTGACCCTCCAGGGCTGGAAGCTAGTGTTTAACAGCATTTTGCCACAATTGGACCAATTCGGGTACTTATGTGTGACAGGCTCGATGGCGGCAGCAAATTAGCACTCTTTTGTTTGGCTGCTAATTGCCAGAGCGCTGCTAGCTTGGTACATTTTAAGCGCGTGAATTCTTCTGCTGAGCAGATCGTATTAATTCCGTCTCTAAATACGGAGTGCAAAAATAAGATAATTTCCTTCAGCCTCGGCTCTGAAGCTGCCACTGAAAAGGTAAGCGATACTTAGCAATTTCTAGACATTGGTGGCGGGGCACAGGGCCTTTTTATTCCAAACATGGGAGCTAATTTTAAGCCTTTATCTCTTTCGGATTACATTTGCTGGGAAATTACCAGCTCTGATAGAGGTAAAACTCGTGCCAGCCATGCAAACATCTTCCAGGAAACGAAAGGCTGGAGAGGCAGCAGGACTGGTCAAATCTCTGGGCTGCGACGTGCTGAGAGGCCAGAGACAGAAAACAGAATCCCAGGCGTGAGCGCTCTGCTCAGGCCGGAGATGCTCTGTGATTCGGGCAGGTTGCAGATAGCGCAGGGGAGACTGGAGTCATGTGCAATCCAACTGTGCCAGGCAGCCTAATTAAAGGGGAAGTTACTGGGCCTTGATTGCTTTCTATATAGCCACCTCAAGGCGTATTTCTAAAGCAAAGACGCAGCCTAAAGACAAAGGCAGGAACTGCCATTGTGAGCACTGGCTCTGCGTGGACTACACTGGCGCACAGGAAAACGGCACGGCTGGGTATCAAGCTGAGACTGGCTGCCTCCCGAGTCCCTGCAGCTTGCTACCGGGAAAGCCTGGTGCGCCGTGACTTGTTTGTTCCTAGAGTCGGGTTCGGGGCACCTCTGTGCAAACACATCGCAAAGGATGTTTCTTGCCCTCGAAGAGTTTACAGCCCAAAGAGATGAAGGGCTGGGGGAAGTATCATGCTTTCCATACGACTGAGGCATGAAGACCCAGTGACTGGTCCCAGAGGCAGAGGTGACCGCCTGCAGCTTTCCCAAGGCTCCACCCTCACCCCAAGACCATGCATCCTCTCAACACCAAGCAGCACCTGCAAGCCCAGGGCCTGCATTTTGGGCTGTGACATGCTGAGGAATTCCCTCCAGAGAACAAAACTCTGTGCACATCCTGGAACAACATTCAGAGCCTTTACCAGTCGCACGGCACCCAGGATGTTCCCCGAAGTAAAAGAGCAGTTGCAAATCACACTGCCCTGTGAATGCTGAAGTGCTCAGACCTGGGCCCACTCAGTGAAAGCAGGCAGCAAGAAGCAATGGCAGCCCCTGGAAAGAGGAGCTTGTACCCTTCCATCTCTGCACCTTGGAGCTAACAGACACGGCCTCATCGCTGAGCCCCATGGGCCCTGCAGTTCTCCCTGTTGCCCCAGTCCTAGCATCACAGAGCTTGCTGTGCACACAGGCTGAGCCTGTGGCTCTGCAGTGAGAGGCTTATTCTCACTTCATTTCACGTTGGAGAGCAGCGTGGAGCTGTTCTGGAGCTTGTGAAAAAACAGGACCATGAATAATGAGAGCAAGGAAGCCGGCGTGCTATGCGAGGAGGGCGGCAGAATGTGTGCAGGGACTGAGCACCAGGCCTGGGCAGGGAAGGAGAACAGCTTGTGTTTGAGGGAGGTCATCTGTTTAATTTGCCGAAGGTGGCACCCAGGGCTGTGTGGCAGAGTCGGAGCGTGCAGACTGCACGGCGAAACTGCCTCAAATTACCCCATCCAGAGAGACATCACGCTGACAACAGAGCCCTCTCCCTCCTCTCCGACTTGGAGCTGTCTTGCCAGTGCTGCGTGAGCCGCTGGCAAGCTGGTAACAGAGGAGCTGATTTTTTGAAGCCACGGCACTTAATAGCCGAAATCCCCAATGAGGCTGCAATTAGCGCTGGCGTGTCCCAGAGACATGCAGAAACGCCATTAGCATGTCCCCAGCTCCCATCCCTTCCACCTGTTCACCCACAGCACTCCTTGTGCTGCGTCTTATGCTCTAGACGTGTTAAGCATATGGCCAGCACATGTGACGCAGCCCACATGATGTGCCCCTGTGGTCTCAGCTGCACAATCCAGCAACCACTGAAACACACTGCTAGCACTCACGGTGAGGAAGAAAAGCCCCGAAGATGGCCAGCCCTGACTCTGAAAGTAAGCCTCCTCTACAGGAGCTTGGCACCCAGCCACTGGGGTTTTTCAGTCGGGGCTACGGGGTGCCTAACACTCGTTTGCTAATGAGACTGCTGCCTCTGCAGGGCTATTGTAGATCTTATCAACAGGATTAAGACAGCTGGAAAGGAAAGAATTCACACCAACTCCAATTATCCAGCCTGAGGACCCAAGTAAACCAAAGACAGGCATCCTAAAACTAAAAACAGCTCTGACACCAGAGACATCACAGCTCAGCTCTTAGGAGGTGATCCCCCCCCAGGTACACTTGCCTCTTTAGTCCACTTGCTTTCACAAGGCAGGTGCTGGCACCAGTGCATCTGGCACTCAGGAACTGAGCTTCCATACTTATTCAGCAGCAGCCAGTTTCTAGCAGAAGAGATGCATCTCATTTTGGTCCTACTGGGCACTGAGGCACAAGGCTGCTCTGTGCTAGGCTGCTCCATAGGCAACGGTGAGTCTTGGAGGGTTGCGAGCAGTGGTGGGAGATGAATCTTTCTCACTTGCAGCCTAATCCAGGGCAGACTTTGCAACCCAAGACACTACGTGACATACAAAGAGGTGGAGAAACACACGACGCTGAACAGATGGGATTTTCATAGTTTCTTCTGTATTTGTACTCTTGGAGTGTATGTAATCTTGACCAGCAGAGAGCATTGCTTCATGGGCTTCATCGAGCCAGCTTGAGAACTATGAAGTGGAGGTGAAAGGGTCTAATCCAATGCTTGCTTGGAGGCTATGCAATTCTTCCATTGATTTCAACGTGCATGAGAGTAGGAGCAAAGGGAATGGGGCTCTGTGCATGCCCAAAGCCCCTCCTTCTGGGAGAGAGAGCTAGATGCACTTCAGGAAATAAAGAGGTACTTCTCCCTGCATCTTGCAGCCTCAATTCTTCACCCTGCCAAATGTCCAAGTGCCACCAGAGATACTGAAGGACACACTAGGGGAGAGAGGAGACAGCGGAGGGAGCAGGAGCCAGGATAAGCTGCCACCATTCGGACTCTGTCTGAGTGAATAAATTCCACCCTGCTCACGAGCCTGACTTAATCAGAGATTTGGTTATTTAAAAAGAAAAAATCATTCTAGCCAACAGAAAGCAGAGCACGGCATGATGGCAGGAGCCTGAGTCTCTTATCAACTCAGGATATTTTAGCAGGGTGAGGATATTTTAGCAGGAAGGGGGGTGGATCGTTAATCTTGCATTAAGAATATTTTACGATGGAAACCACAAGGGCAAGAGTGCAAGTGCCTGGGGCTAGCAGATGCCTCAGCCTAAAGAGCTGGAAAATATGCGCTCCTCAGTGGGGAGCTGTAATATATTTCCCTTTCTCCATGCCAGAACTGGAGCGCTCAGCCAATATAGAATTAAATGGACCTGGACAACGCAGCTGCCTGAGAAGCGTAATTAGCTGGTGGCTGGGAGCTCTCTCTAATTCAATTAGCAGCGCCGTTTATCAGAGCCAGCTGAGATTTCCATTTGCGCTCGCTGACGTCAGTGCGAGACTCGCAGCGAGTCCCAGAAGCCTCCAGTTCAGCAGGAGCGAATTGAGCTGCTGGGGTCATTTATTTTTGAAGCGTTAAGAGCTGGAGTTTGGAGGGGGAGTGGGGCAGGAATGAATGCACTTTGCTCCGCAGCCCCCTCCTGCAAACCTGTATCCGGAGCCAACTCCTGCATGCCTCACAGCTCCTCTGGAGGTGCTGGTGCTCCGGGGTTGCGGGGTTTTTTAGCTGCATTTTAATGGGGCCTTTGACACTTACTTCATGGTTTGCAGGGGGCACTTTGGAATCGTCTGTGTGGAAGCAGGTGCCGGCTTCGATCCGCACGTCATCCTGCCAGGCTGAGGGCAGCGATTAGGGCTGATGGAAGCCAGCCAGGTCTTTAAAGGCTGTGCCTTCTCTGACCCCATGCACACATCTCTACGCAGGTCTCTGCAGAGGGGCCTTTCCCCACACCTGCCTGCACTGCACATGGCCTTGCAAGGTTCTGCAGCGGAGACATCTCCTCTCTGGACTGTCCATGAGCCAACCAGCCTGCTGGAGACTATTTGTTTTTATCAGCTAATATTCTGACACCCAAGGGAGTCCAAGCAGTTAGCCAGCCCCTTCCAGAGAGACTGACCAGCCCAGCCAGTTTTCCAAGCTAACAGTGCTGGAGACCCTGAGACCTTCACCAGCTCTCCAGGGCAGAGTGGCAAAAGGGTGACATCAAGCTTTTTGCAGGGGCCATTCAATTAACCTGCCGGAGGTCCCCTCTCCTGCCTGTCATGGATCCTCCTATGTAGCTGGGTTCCCAGACCCATAATCATCTTCTTGACTACCGAGGGGAACGCCATGTCCTTGTCTTCACAGCAGGGATTTCCATTGCTTCTGCCACTAAGGAAGATGCTGGGTCCCAAGGCAACAGGCCGGTGTGATCTGTTGCACTGACCCACTCAGCACTAATCCACAGGTCTGGCTAGACAACCTGTCCCACATCTCTGGAACTGTCCTTGGGGAGATGCTCCGAGATGCCTGCAAATATGCTTCCACCCAGAAGGGAGAAAGTGGGGGAGAAGAGACTCCCTTTAAAGCTCCAGTTTGCTCTGCAAACATTGGGGTGCTCAGGAAGACAGGCATACTGTGTCCAGCGCCAGACACAGGGGACAGGTGAAGGAAAGGCCTGGTGGGTCAACAGAGCCCCGGGGACACAGACACACCCCATCAGCGCCTGCCTTTGCACGAGGTGGATGCAGAAAGCAGTAGCAGAGCCGTGTAAGGCGGCGACAACTGGGCTGGCAGTGCAGCAGGGACGCACCCTCTCAGGCAGATTCCACTCCTGTCGGAGAGATCTGCAGCCTTCTGTTAGCAATTAGCTCAGCAGTCAGCTGGTGATTGATTGCAACACTCCTGTTCTGCTCTTCCCTGGGGAACTGTCAGAGGCGGCTTATCTTATACAAAGAGCAATTATATCACATTCCAAAAAACCCCAAACTGCCTTATCTTGGAGATGATGCAACCTGTCCAGCTAGGTCTTGCGCTGCCCCCCATCCTGCCTGCTCAGGCCCCCAGATGGTGTGGATTGCTGCGACTGCCATAATGGTCAGGGCAAGGCCTGTTATTGTGTTTGTTTTTGAGTGTGTGCGCGCAGCACCTGGCACAGGGGGCCACGCTGTGCAATACGAACAACAGCTTAAAGGGAGAAAAGGCATTTATCTTCCCCATGAGGGAGGGAAGGATTACTAGGCAGGGAACTGAGGCATGGAGCATCTAAGTGACACGCCCCAAGGCAGGCAGGACGTCTGGGGCTGAGCAAGGACTTGAACCCGGGCCTCCCAAGCTAGCTCCCTCTGGCCTGGTCCCTTCTTCTGTTACAACCCTGACACATGGGGAAGCTGAGGCAGCAGCAGACCAAAGAGAGCACCCGGGAAAGCATCTCCTAAGGGCCAGGGCTGCTATGGGCAGGGCAGCCCAAAGGATTCTTGCCTCTAAGGAGGTACAAAGTGGCTTCAGACACAAATAACTGGTGTGCTTTGCAGAGGGAGAAGAGAATAGAGCAGATAAAGGCTCACAGGCCACATTCATCACCCCGTGAGCCAGGGTTTGCAGCAGACATGCAGCTCACACCTGACCCAAGCTCTGTCCTCGGCTGCAGGCATCGCCTCCTTAGACTGAGTGGTGACCTTGCTGTACCAGGGGCTCTGTCACTCGGAGGTGCCTGTGAAGGCTTCAGACCTTCACCGTTACCGATGAGCGTGTGATTCATTCTGGGGGGCCAGCGACAGAGGTGAGCCTGCCTGCTGCTGCCCTCCCATGCCCCTGAAGGAAAGCTGCCCTGTATGAGCACAGGCCCATGCCCCACCTCATCTGCACCCTACCCTCTGGCCGGAGCCCACGGCAGCCCTGCACCCACTGCTTCGGCGGCCTGGCAGCGCAGTGTGGCACATCTCGAACCCTGCCAGTGATCAAGGTGCACAGCAAGCATGCAAATCAGACCTGCTGCTATGGCAACCTGGCCTGCTCCGCCATGAAGGCACCGCAGCTCCTTCCTGCTCACGCTGGGAGGTGCTGATAGGAGCAGCACAGAGAATGTCAATGCGCACGAGCCCGAGGAGGAGGAAGGAGGCTGCCCAGAGAAGCAAGCGGGGCCGAGAGGCTGGCTGGCTGCATGCTCCCGTCTCCTCCTCAACGCAATGAGCTCTATAGAGGCCACACAGTCCTTTGTTAAAGGGTAAGGGATGCTAGAAAAAAAATGCCCCCATTCCCATCCTGCTTTTCTGTTTTGCAACTCAAGAACACTCTGCCCTGTTCTCCCTCATTGTGTGCCTGAGATTGATCCCCCGTGGTTCCCAAGACCTCCCTGGGGCTGCCGTTCCCCTGGGAACATCACAAGCAGCTGCGTGAGCAAGAGATGCTGCCACGGTTGTGACTGCCACTCCCAGTGGAAGCAGCCCCCTGCTCTTGCCCTGGGCATTGGCTAGAAGAGAGCAGCTGTAAGCACCGTGCCCATCACAGAGCCTCTCATGAGTCTGATGCACAGAGGGCTCGGCTGGGGGCAGGTGAAAGCAGAGGGCTGGCGGGTTTGGGTGGTGGCTGGCCGGAGGGGAGGGAGCCGCTTTTTGCTGGGAGCAGGAAAATAGCAAAAGCTTGACCTGCCCTGGCTCCCAGCAAGAGCAGCTGGCTGAGCAGAGCTGGCATGCTCCTGTCTCCAGCTGATGGACTCCAGGGCTGCGGCTGTCACGGGTAAATGAGTGCCAGGCAGGGAAGAGGCACATTTCACTTGCCTTGAGAAGGGTCTGTCTGGCCTGTCCGAGAAGGGAGAATTTGACTGCTGGCTTTGTCCAAGTGAGCGGCGCCAGTCATGGGTCAGAGCAAGCTTCGAGTCCTTTGGGCTCTTACTTGACAGGCTTTATAGTGTGCGGTGGAGTTCAAGCCTTTGCAGAGTGCTCCCAACAGCTGCCAGCCCCCAGCTGAGGGCAGGAGGAAGTGCTCTGATTGACATCTGCTTATTCTGTGACTGCACCAAAATAAGCATCCCCCTTTGGAGATAAGTGGGAAGATGGAACAAATACTGGCAAAAAAAGCCCCTGCAAGGCACCATAGGGCAGGCAGTGTGATGCTCACGTACAACACCGAATACAGCAGGTCCTGAGCTTAGCTGAGGCCTCTGATGCTGCAACAAGCATCAGTCACAAAAAGCCCGGTGCTCCAGAGATGCCTGTGACAAGCACAGCCCTCGAGTGATCATTCGCTTACCTTTACTTCCACTGCACAGCCTGATGTGGCAGGGCCCACCCCAGAAAGTGCTCTCAGCTAATAATATCCTGGGATATTTATTTGGGTCTGGTCCAGCACCTCTCACCAACTTCACAGGGCTTTAGAGTGGGCCAAAAAAAGTTTATCTGCCCAATGGAGAAAAGCAAGACAGAACAGCTCTCAATCACCTAACAAGGTCCATGCAAGCAGGGAGGTGGCCAGTGCAGGGAAGAAGAGGGAAGCAAGAAAAGTTATGTGGAAGACTCCAGCACCGATACGTCAGTGAGGCAGAGGCAGCTCACAAAATACCTTGCCAAGAAGCCAAGCAAAACTGCTTCTCTCAGCTGGCCAGGAAGGCAGGGGTTGCAGTGGGATATGCACTTTAGCACAGTTTCCTGTCACTTGAGACCTTGCATTAGTTTTTGGAAAACCTCAGTTAATCTTATACCCTGTGCTGAAACCTGTCTTGCTGGAGCATGCTCAGATGGGGGAGAGTGCAGAACTGGGGGGCTCTTTTTGAGGATCTTACACAACTTCTTTCTCCCTAGCATGACAGCCACCCTACAACAGCTGTAAAACCCAGAGCTGGGGGCCACAACCCAGGCATTGCTGTCTTTATGCTATTTCAAACTCTGCAAAACAGCATGGCATTTGAGGAGCATTAATTTCTCTTCTTCCCAACAACTTTACCCCTTCTGGGTCAAAGAACGAAATATGACTTCATCCAAAGGTATACAGGGACCTTGCCCTTTCAGGTTCAGTTTTACCCCTCTGGGGAGTTTCACTGCATAGAGCAATGCTGGTTAAGAGCGTTAAAGTCTACTAGCGTGATGTGTACCAACCTGTGCCCAGAAAGGGGCCTATCAGAAAAGGAGCATCTTAAGTTCACAACAGCTCTTGTATCTCCCCTCTCAGGACATGGCCAACGTCCTTTCAAAGGCAGAAGTTCAAACAGAATGAGCCTCCACCCCCCAACCCCAGGCTGGTCTTCTTCCCCGAGCATGTACAAAGCTTACCTAGAAGCATCTAGGAAGGGTTTGTAGGCAATGGTGACCCATTCTTCCTTGTTAGAGGAGTATCTTGGTTCCCTTAGTGTTTCAGTGGCTGCATCCAAGTCCACCAGGTAATGGCACTTGGAGATGTCAATCTGCAGAGAGAAAGGACACCTTGTTTTTTTATGTCCTATGAGGCATCCTTCTCTTCCTGGCCAGGACCGGTGTGGGACGCAGACCCAATTACTCCCTGTTGCCCCAGAAGTGGCTGCACTGAGCAGTAGATGAAAAAAACCTGGTCAAGTGTTTTGAATACTTGCAGGTGGAAGGCTCTGTAAGACACTCTTACTGCTACTGCTTCCACAGCAGCTTCTGCAGAGCACCTCCACAACTGGTATCACGGATGACAGCTAACGAAGCTGAACACCTCCCCTCCGGTGCTCTTATTACGGTAACACAGCTTAAGGCAAGCAATGGAGCTCAAGG